ATACTAGATATTGTAGACTTTGAGATTTTGAATGTGTATTGTAGACTAGTATACGAGTCCCCGGTGACCAGAAAACGTAAAGTCACGGCTAATCTTTCCTCTACACTTATGGGTTTCCTCCAATGCGTGGTTTTTTTTTCGACTTGTGGACGAATCAGTGATACTAAATACTTGAAATCAGAATAAGCCATGCGAACGAAATTTTCAAACTGTCCACTCTCTTGAAACAGTAAATCATTAATTAAACTTAGTCCACCATGTTCATCCCTGTTCTTAAACAATTGAGTGATCCACCAACGTCTTTTTTGTTTTTTTTTTTTGATAAGTGAATTCATAATTATGAATGTGGCACCTGCGATGATTGTGCGCTTTTTTACTAGCTCGTTATTGACCATTTTAAATTAAAACTGATTGGTAACTGAGTACAAAAATACTGAATGTGACCTTTAACTATTTAAGTCGATAATGAACAACTATCAACGGAATTTAATTCTTGTGAACAATGTTGAGCCAGTTAGAGCGGCTCCGGGCAGCTCGCCTAAGTGTTTACACAATGCGCACAGTGCTCATGTCTTGCTCGCGCTCACTACGGCTCGACCGTGCTTTTGCTCATGTGTAAACGCAGCTTAACAGTTTATAAAAACAAAGAAACGGGAACACGATCGGTAGATTGTGTAGGTGCCGGGTGACGTTTATTTAACGTAAAAGAAAAAAACAGAAAGACCCGTGGCCGGGTGAAGATATGTATTTACAATATACGAACTACGAAGACGGATTCGGTGGGTCGCGTTTTGTAGAGACGGATCAGACCGTGACGGTGGTTGAAGAACGAGAGAGAGCCGGCGGTTTCGTGGACGCGCATACGTGGCACGCCCCGACATATAACCTGACGTCGTTTTTTTGCCCTTTCCAATAATACCGTTGTCGTACCGCCCTGTATGTTTCTTTCCAACCCGGATGGTTAGACAGAACGTGATCGTGACACCTCCAAATTACCTGTTGCGCTTTGGTTTTTGGTATCACGACTGGTGTGTGGGGGGCCTATGCTTATGCATAGGAGTCCTTCTGAAAAAACGTATGCGTTTGTTCCCGATTTTGAGCTCTTAGTGTTCTGCGCAGGGCCGTCCCCCCTGTGACCGGCGGCTACCTACGTCGCAAATCGTGGCGTCTTCGGACTGCCACTTTTGGGGAGTCGTCGCGGTGAGCGGCGTGTCGTCACTGACGTGGTTATCGCGCATATAAAATATACGATCGGACTTGAGGTCCACATTGGTTGTTGGCGTTGCGGGCGCCCCTACCAATTTTTCCTCAAGTTAATCTTCGTCTACGGGTGCCCCCGGTGCTGGGTCGCGGGATAACAAATCCGGTGCTTCGTTTTGTATTCCCGGGACGTGTACCGTACTGAAATCTAAATTAGCTAGTTGTAGTGACCAACGTGTTAATTTTGAATTTTTGTCTTTGGCCCTGTATAACCATGTTATTGCCGAGTTGTCTGTTAGGAGTTCGAAACGTCGGGTCTCTAGGTATGGTCGAAATTTGTCCGTTGCCCAAATTACTGCTAGGCACTCGCGTTCTACCGCGGCGTACCTCGTCTGTGTCTCGCTAAACTTTTTGCTTGCGTAGGATATGATGCGTCTTTCCTCCGGTCTGTCACCCCGTTGGAAGAGTACCGCACCAGCTCCTATCTCGCTTGCATCGGTTTGGAGACAAAACGTTTTGTTGTAATCTGGTGGGGACAATTTCGGCGATGTGACTAGCGCGTTTTTTATTGACTTAAACGCGCGTTGTTCGGCATCCGTCCATTTCCACCTATTCCCCTGTTTCAATAAATTTGTTAGGGGTGCTATGGTGTCCGCGTAGTTGTCTACGAATTGGCTGTACCAGTTGCATACCCCTAAAAATGTTCGTACGTCCCTAACGTTACGTGGAACCCGAAAATTGTCAATGCAGACTAATTTTTCCGGTTGCTTTTGTATGCCTTCCGAGTCTACAATGTGCCCCAAAAATGAAATTTCGCGTAGTCCGATTTTACATTTTTTTGTGTTGCACGTTAGTCCAAACCTCTTGAGACGCTCGAGAACTTTGTCTAAGTGGGCCTGATGTTCGTACTCGTTCCTTGAAAATACTACTATATCGTCTAAGTATACTTGTACGAACTCATCCAGGTACCCCCTCATAACTTCGTTCATGAGTCTCATGAAAGTCATTGGACTATTTTTGAGACCGAAAGGGAGAACTTGAAATTGAAATAGCCCTCTACGTGTTCGAAATGCCGTGTATTTTCGTGCATTTTTGTGTAAAGGTACTTGCCAGTACCCCGAGCGAAGATAAAAAATACTGAAAATTTTCGCGCCCCGCATTTGCCTAAACATTTTGTTGAGATCTGGCATAGGGTACGCGTCGGATTCCGTTACGTCGTTAAGCCGCCTGTTGTCGACACAGAGGCGAAATGATCCGTCTTTTTTCTTCGCCAATACTACTGGTGCGGCCCACGGGGAGGTGCTATATTCTACGAGTCTATGGAGTTCCATATCGCGCACCATATCATCGATAGCGGTTTGTTTTTTCTGCGGATATGGGTATGGTTTGAGCGCGATCTTTAAGCAAAATTTCGTGTTCAATTAATTTGGTACGTCCTACTTTTTCGTTGAATACTACCGCGTAGGTATTTGTTTAAAATCTTGGTTAGTTTCGCGCGAGTTTCGGGGTCATTTCCGAATTCTAATTGTGACAAGTCGGGACGAGTGGCGGTTGGTTGGGACTTCCCTCTCAAACATGTTGACGTTCGAATTTGCTTACCCATGTGAATTGTGCACGCGGCGTAATCCCAAGAGACTTCATTGTTTACAAGAAAGTCGTGTCCTAGTAACGCATCGCAATACAAATTGTCTAGGATGGTAGCTTCGAATTTAATGTCGAGTTACAAGACGATTAATAAAATATGCAACTTATCGCGTTACAAAGCTAGAATTGTGTTATAAAAAATTTATTAAAAAAGCAGAACACTTTCAAGTTATTGTTGAGGGGAATGTTTATAATGTAACATCAAGTACTCAAAATTGCTATTATACTGTTCGTTCTTTAGAAAATTATGAGTTTTGTGATTGTCCAGCAGGTGAAGGCGGTGCTTTCTGCAAACATATATGTGCTGTACACTTAAATGGATTTTTTGTTCAAAATAATCCTCATTTATCTTTTACTGACCATGTTCAACTTGGAGAACTAGCTGTAGGCAAGGATTTTGATAGTTCATTTCTACAAAGTATGAATATTGACAATGTAGTCAACGTAGAGTTTGATACAGCAAATTACACTTCAAGAGGGACAAGTACTACTACAGCTGAATTTTTTTCCGGTGCAAATAGTAATCCAGTTGAATTGGAGGACCAGTCTAATACGTCAGAAAACATGAAATCTGAATTAATTGTATTGCAGGGTGAAATTGACCGTATTAAACAAATGGTGGATGAAAATAGTAAAGATCCATATCTCTTGAAAAATCTAAAAAAATTCAATAAAAACTTAAAAAGCATCACAACTGTTATATCTTTTGTTAATGTAACCAACCATTTTATTAGTCATAAAAAACTAATTGGAACTCAGCCTACATCTCGGTCAAGAAGGAAAGTTGGAATATCTTCTGGAGCTAAACGTATCCAAGCTGGTCGACCATCTAATACTGAAACATCTGGAAGGCAAAAAAAAAATAGATGTTTGGGTTTAAATATTAAAAACAACGTAACAAATGCAAAATCGCATTAGTACCTATTATATTATTTTACTTTTTATTGACATTTTTATTATTATTATGATTATTCATGGTAATTTTGATTTTTATTGAGCATGTTTTTATTATTATTTATTATAATTATTGACCATAGACATATAATATTATTATTACTACATATTATTATTATTATTATTATTATTACATATCTATTATATGTCTTGGTAATTGACTTACTAGAAAGAACTAGTGCGTTTAATAGTTCACAGTTCATAAGGTTTATACTTTTTGTAATTATGTTAGTACTTGCCACTTGCTGTTAGAATGACTGATTTTGTTCTTATTTATTATTTATCATATGAATATGTACAACTTTACTCTAATCAAATCGCTCAAATGTAGTTTATTATGTAATAATACTAATAATCAATATTGTATATAGGTGAACTAAATGAACTATTCACTTTAATGAACTATTTTTCCACCTCTAGAAAGAACAGATTAACAGAACTATGATAAGTGATAACGTTAGTTCGTTTGTGATAACGTTAGTTGTGATACAGTTGTGGCACGCGCATGCGTATTGGGTGACGTGCATACCCGTTTGGCCGAATTCAGTTACGGTCTGTAAATACGCGGGCGGGACAATTGGTTCTCAACCGTTTTTAATACAAATTATTTATTTATATTTTCAGTCAGTCATTAAGTTAATATATATACATAATAATAAATAGTAATAGCAATTTAATAAAAAAACAATAGTAACAATTGTATGAAATTATTTTGACCTATCTACGAGTTGCAATTTTCTTGGTGCTTTTTCTGCAAAATCCTCAATGATTTCAGTTTCTGAAATGACCTCTTTTTTATTTATGTTTATTAAAGCTAATCCATTTAGTCTATTTTCAGTCATTTTTGATCTTAAGTATGTTTTCAGTCGTTTTAAGGTAGAAAAAGTACGTTCTGGCATAGCTGTTGTAACAGGAAGAGTTGTGAATATTTGTAAAAGCAATTTAATATTAGGCACAATATCTGTACAATAAGGTAAAGTCTCAATAGCGGTTTCAGGTTTATTCACTGTGCTATTTTGTCCATCGTCTTTCCATTGATTTTGCCATATACTTAATTCAGCCTTTAATGTAAAAATTGCATTTAACGGAAGATCATTTTCGTATATTTTTGCAGCCTCTAAAATAGTTTTAATATCATATTTATTGAAATGTGATGGGATTAACCCTTCAAATAGAATAATCTCTCTTAACCTTTGATCAAATCAAGTCCTTAATTCACATATAATTTGGTCTAGAAATGGAATGAATATAGTTATTTTGTAATAATTTTCCGGATTTGTAACGTTCACATTAGCTCTTTGATTTTGTTTGCCACAAACTCGAGGTATTTTAATATCGACGTCTATTTTAGAACCAATCTTAAGTACTTCACTAAATATATTTTTGAAATGACTATCAACATTTTTACGAATAGATTCTAAAGATGCTCGTACAGTTACAACATCATTTAGTGCTTTTGATAAGTCTTGTTGTTTACTTTGAAGAATTAAATTTAATGTATAAGAAAAAATAAAAACTGCTACTTCTAATGAAACAAGAAAATCGCTTTTTCTGATAGCACTACCATACATCGCTGCTTTACTTGATGAATCTGATTTACTACCATTATTTTCATATTCGTCTAAAGCTTCTATGATGTACAAAAACAATTCTTTGAATGTAATTAATGCATCATGCCTCTCGACCCAACGAGTCTCACATAATTTCTTGAGTTTGTTTTTTTTTATATTATTTTTTTCATCCGACTCAATTATAGATTTAAGTTTATTAACACGTATTGCAGAAGCAGAAAATAAAGTTGAAATTGTAGAAATAATTCCATTCATATTTTTAAATACGGCCAACGAGGGGGGGCCATGGCCCTGTGCCCCCCTGGATACGCCACTGGGTGGTACCAAGTTAAACAATAATCACAACTGATGGAATTGTTGGCACATTTTTTTTTACAAAGTGGACACAGCCATAAAGAATCAAAACAATTTTTTTGAGCCACAATTGTTTGCACTTTTGTCCAAGTACAGGATGAAAAAAATTGTTATACCTAAAAAATACAATATTGTTTGAATACTAACAAAAAAAAGTAATTATAAAAACAAATAAATTAAAGAATACCTACTTGAAACAAATTAACCAACTCATCAATTATGTTATTTGGTATGGTACTGTATTCATTCAGATCTGTGTCATCTATTTTAAAATTTGAACTTAAAGCCTTGTTTACAACTTCAATGGTACAAAGCCATGATAATATTAATTTATTGCGTTGCATTTAGTGCAACAATTTAAAAGGTTTTTTAGTTAAAATCTTTCTATTTTTTTTTTTAAGCCGATTACTGTTTGGAGAGCTCCCTTGGGTTTTCCTCTACGTTTAGTAGTATGAATTGTAATGCTAGAAATATCTAAAATCACAACAAATCAATAAAAATGTAATGTGTTATAACTTATAAATATTGTTATACATTTTAACAAAAAGAAAATAATAATACCTAAATCAGTTCCTTTTTTAGCATTAAGAGGTTTGAGATCACTCTCAGTCTCACTAGTACATATGATCTGAAATTAAATTAAATTAATTTATACCCTAGGCCTAGAGGCTAGACTGTAAAAAAATATAATTTACCATTTCTGATTCTACATCTTTGTTAGGTCTGCAATTCAAGGTGTCACTCTCAGTTTCACTAGTACACGGGATCTGAAATTAAATTAAATTTAGTTCTACCCTAGGCCTAGACTGTAAAAAAATATAATTTACCATTTCTGTTTCACTAGTATTTATAGTTTTTCCTATTGGTATAACAATTACTTCTTGGTGATTTTCCCATTGCTTTATTATATTTTTTAAGACATCAATTCTATATATGTATATACTATGTCCAACTGTCGAGATAAGTTGAGAAATCGTAGCAGTATACTTTGAAGCTTCCCTGTGTTTTTCAAAGGCTGATGTTGGTTTTTTTTTATTTGATTTAATTGATGTGATACATTCTGGAATACTTTTCAATAAACTAGTGGCTTGCGGTCGAAAAGCATTTTGATTTTGAAGTAGATAACTTTTAGTCCATCGAGGTTAACACAGTGCTTCATCAAATATATCTAAATTTTTTAACTGTCTTATTTTAATAATGTGACGACATGGAAGTGTCATTGACCTAAAAAACTTACAATCACATTTGATTATAGTCACATCAACATTGTCAAGGGATATGTCATCTATTATGAGACTAGCCATGTATTCTTTTTCAACATGGTTAAAAGCATATTGTGTTAAAAGGTCCGAATATTTTTTAATTGGTAGCACATTAAATGGTATAATAGGTATTTTATGTAATACATTTATAGCTTTATGATCTCGTTCTGTTCGTTCTATAAGTAATTCAATAAAAAATTTTGTTAAAAATTCTTCAAGAGAACTTAACTTTCTTATTACGGATTTCAAATTAAGATTTAACGATTCCGCCCTATTATTGGTAAAATTTAAAAAAATCTCATTTATAAAGGCATTAACCCATTCGTCTTTAATAGGATCCCAGTTGTCATCAAAATATTTCATTATTTGTGCCGGTAAAATCTGTCTCATGGTTTCATATATTTCATTATATTTTTGATGTGATTTAGCATAAGAAATTTGCTGTAAATACTCTTTTGCTGTGCTTTCTTCAATTGGGGTAATACCCAATTTACTTGACGTGATTTCACGTTTAAAAATTTGAAAAAAATGAAATTTACATAATATTAATCTTGCTGTTGGGAAATTACATTTTAATACACTTCTTATGGTTTCATCTTTGTCTGTCATAAATGTCTTGATATTAATACTTTTCTCGTTTTTGCTTTTGAATGTTGAAATCAACCAATTTACGTACTCCTTAATTTCACCAACTAATATTCCAACTGCAATTATTTCAGAACTACCAATCGAGTCTTCAACAATAAATAAATAAACGACACCATTAAAATTTAATAATTTATAAGTACCATCTAGAAGGACAATTTCAGGGTATGCTTCAAAATTTCTTTTCATGTCGTCATTTTGGAAAAATAAACCTCTGAATTCCTTATCTTCTGCTAAAACTTCATATTCACAGTTATGTTTTTCAAGTATTGGTAAGCAAGCTGCCAAGTCATTTGAATACGTATTAATTGATTTAGAAATATTTGTTATATCTCTTAATAATAGTGTCTGACCAGAAGTATCAGATAAACTTTTTAAGAGAAGTTTCTTATTTGGTCTCAATGTTTGAAGCTTAACTGCTTCATCAATTACTTTTTTATTAAGTTTCCTCTGGTTTGGAAGATGATTAAAGGTTTTTCTATAATGATAAAAATTAAAAAATTGAATCTTTTAAGATAAATAATAATTATAATTTATTTATTACATAGGTAGGTACTATACTTTGTATTGGCTGCATGGTTATGCTCTTCTGACAAGCTTTTCAAAACTAAATAATGTCCATTTTTAGACAGTGAAAAATAAATAAATGCACCACATTCTTGTTGAGACGTACTAAAACATTAATATTGAAAATATTATATAAACTCATAAAACATTATTAATCTCAATTTTTTATTTAAATTAACACTTACAAAGTTTTTCGATTAGAGGTTTTAATTTTTTCCCTGAACTTTTGACCTCCGTGAATACAACTGTCTGCGCTGGAATAGTTCATACAAGGTAGGTAGTCGACTACTCCGACTCGCGTATCTACTTTGAGCTAGGTAACCAAACTACATAAAATAATAAAACACTTTATCTGGTAGAAAAAAATAATTTGTTATTGCGCGGAGCGCGAAATGCATATAATTATGATATGGCTCTATAGAGCGAACAATGATGACAATAATAAACATAAATTAATAAAAAATATTACACGGGCGCCCTCATAACCGAACAAAATATGTATAAAAAAGAAAATTCAATGATAATATAATATGATCAATATTGATCAGTACATAAACAATAATAATTGGAATGATAACACGGAAATAGTGATATCAACTGATAATACAAAATGATAATAATGAAATGATAATTATCACCCGGCGCCGCCACTGATAACGGATTTTCGATTGGTCAATGATCCCGTCAACTGGAAACGTCCGACGGCGACGATGATGATTGATGATACGCCTTTTACGGCAAAGTCGGCAGTCGAACCCACGATGACCGATGCAATGTGGTACCGAAACAGGCACTCACGCCACACGACCGACACGCGACACACCACGAACAACGGTGCCGTAGATCGCACAAGCGATACTCGACGCGGACACAGAAAATGGCCGCGCGAACCACACCGACATACACGTCCGACGATGAAAGGCCAAAATGACGTGACGGCCGTCGAATCACCAACACACTGGCAGCGATGGTAATGGCGCACCCACAGCGACCGAAAACAAATCAACGGATCGGCCAAAATCGCACAACACACGTGGAAAATTCGGCGCGTATGTCCGCACTCAACAGAGCATATACGGAACGTCGGAACGAGACGAGAGCGACTCTTGGACTGGATTACATGTCGCAAAGGTTAGTTAGAGCTGCGATTACGACACCGGCAGTGACGACGATTGTCGAAGCTTGTCGTGATCTAGCTGGACTTTGACCAGGTTTATCTCCGGCGAAAATATGTGTCGCGAAAGTGTGCGGTTCAAACAACAACTAAATTGTATGTAACTGTATTTCAAATTCAGATTAAGAGTATCAAAACGATCTTTGTTCATTCTAATGATAAAAACACGATACATCAAAACATTTACGTAATTTTTTATTCAATGATATAATTTGAAAATATTTAAAAACCTTTTTCCCGCAGACTGCAATGTCCGATTATCCTGAATCCAATAATCGTTTAAAGTTTTTTGCTTATATTCATGCATAAAGCTCGTTATTTCTTCATAAGAGTTGAATTTTAAGCCAATTTGTGGATTCATCATAAAAATTCACAAACAATAAATGTATGTGGTAAAACAATAGTAACAAATTGGTAACAAAATAACAGTTGTAAACGTGAAAAGTCGTCGGTGGTCACTGAATACAGATCGCGTATATCTCAATGTCGTGTCGCACCATAGTAGGTACCTATATATGTTACTATGTAGGTACAATACCGGAAGTATCATGGATTATGTGAGTTGGTGTATAAAAGCTTCGTTCGAGAGTGAGAGAGTTTTGGTACGACAGAGTCCGTGACGTGAAACACTCGTTTTCAGATAATATAGGCCACACGTGCCGTATGCTATCTACCGTAATCCGTATTGACGGTATCGATATTACATATATTAATAATTCCTTTAGGAATTTCAAAATTTCAAAGTTATTTTGTATTTTGGATTTTAGTATGTGTTCGTTGATCGCCGAGATCAAACGTCGTAGTTGTGTGTATAGTATTAAATTGTATATTGATATTTTTCGCAATTTTTGTATACCTACTTCGCGTGATAAAATATACAAATTATTATTCCTTAGGTAATTTTACAATACAAAATAGTATATACAAATATATAACTACGATGTAAATTTTCATATTATGGTTTTTCCTTGTAGTAAATATATATACTACTATAGTAGATTTATAGATACGGTCATACACTCATAATAGTTCATATTTTATATATTACTATATATAATATACATATGCAATGTCCATATATGTAAATGATATTTGACTGGCCTTAATTAATTAAGAACTAAAGTGCAATATACTAATACTATAGATACTAATACTAAGTACAAAAAAAAATAATTTGTGAATTTTTGTGAAACCAACATCATTTAATTTATTTGCAATGTTTTTTTATTTATTTACAAAATATATTATAAACATAGTTTGACATTAGTTTATAAACATTAGTTTATAGGAATACGCAAAACAAATAAAAATGTATAATAATAGTTATATATAGTATACGGGACTACGGTCCCGGCAGTACGGTAATTATTGTACACTTTTTTGTGAATTATTCCCAGTCCCCGCGCATGCGCACTATGATAAAAATTTGTCGGGGACTGATAAGATTGTTATCAAAAATCCCGATTTTTCCGGGACTCTATCCACAGCCTATACTTATACATAATCATATTGTCGTGTTATTACTTATTATATTAATGCTAACATCATTAGTCCGTCAAGGTTCACTTTCAACAATTTATAAACGATCACACATATCTACCATGACCAAAATGAATAATACGTATATATTATTACTTATAAAATAAACCACATGCACATATAATTATTCATAAAATAAATTGCGTGAACGCCCGTCGTACGTCGTAAATGGATGAGCACCTATCTAACAACACGTAAAACGTTCAATCGATTATGCTACGCGTGTTAAATTTCGATACGGTTTATTTCCTCACCCGTTCCGCTCGAACAGTTCCGCGATGTTTCATGCATACGCGCTTATACTACGCTCGAATATTATTAAAACAATCTCCGGTTAATTACTCCGTAAATCCCTCTTATAATATTCGACTTCCTATCCCTTAATTTTCTTGTTAGCTATTTATTTCTCTAAATGATTTAATATTCTAACTTACATACTTTAACCATTTAATTTCAAACACAAAAAATTAACTTTTCACTAACAATTATTCTATTAACTTATTCGTAGTAATATTATACTAAATCTTATCCTAGGGCCCCTATAATTAATTCTTTTTTCAAAAACTTTTCAAAACTTGACGTCAATTACTTTTATTCCATAAAGTCATCTACTGCCTTTTAATTCAAAATCTATCAATTAATTTCTTTCAACAATTATTTATCATTCTATAATTCAATTCAAAAATTCAATATTCCACTTTAATCAATATTTCCATATTTTTTTTTTATTATTATTTTTTTATTGCTAGTAGTAGACAAATGTATACAAGTGTATGGTTACATATGGATTAACTAGCTGGTAATACCTTTTATCGTAGAGCAAGAATACTAATCCAGATGAAATTATAAATTAAAAATTAAATTTAGAATAATGAAAAAAAAAAAAAAAATTCACAATTTGTTATGATATATAAGAAATACAATCTAACTTATGAGTACATTATAATTTATTAATAACAAACATGATTTATAAATACATTTTAAACATTGAATATAAAAAAATTGCAAACTAAGTTGTGTAGATAAATAGGTTTTTAAGCATAATATTTCTCATAAAATATAATAGATAATTAATAGATTTGAATTATAAAAATACTTTGACAGATTATAATAAAACCAGTTTTTTAGTTTGTATTTAAAATTCGGATCATTTAAACACTTTTTCAATTCATCCGGGATGATATCTAATGCCCTCAGACCAACTTGCATGAATGTATTAGAAGCTTTCTTGGTGTTAGTAAATGGAATTTCGAAATATTGTTTTCTAAGCTTATGATGATTGTTTTTAATTTTAAATGCTTTAGTTTTATAAATAAAACATATCGATTGCTTTTTATATAGATTTTCAATTTCTAGTACTCGTAATAGTTTGAATAATTCTTTTGAAGGGAAAGTTTTTGGTTTACTTAAGATAATTTTTATTATATTTTTTTGTGCTATTGATAATTTATGTATTAATGTAGTGTTGCAACCTCCCGTCCTCCCCAAGAGACTATACCGTATTGTATTAAAGATTGAATCATTGCAAAGTATGTTATTCTTAGATAGTTTATATTTAGTATTTCTTTTAGCTGTTAGGAAAAAGTAAGTTAGTTGTCTTATTTTATTTATTAGATTATCTATGTGCATATTCCATTTTAAATTTTGGTCAATTAATATTCCAAGGTATTTAACGGACGCGTGTCTAGATAATTTTGGGCAGGAACATGATATAGTGTTGCAATTAATTTTATGTATGTTCAATTCTTTTTTATTCGGCTCAATTCTAGTATTATTAGTAAATGCAATACATTTTGATTTATCAAAATTTATTTTAAGATCATTATTAGAAAACCATTTATCGAGTACTGCAATATCAGATTCACTTTTTGCCACGTTGATTCCCAATTAGAACTAGATACTACAATTGCAGTGTCATCAGCATACGAATAGATTCTTCCGTTTAACGAGAGTCCGTCTAAAGCTGACACATACATAATATATAGTATTGGAGATAACCCCGTGCCTTGGGGGACTCATCTGTGAATTATACCTATGTCACTTAGTTTATCACTTACTTTGACCTGTTGTGTCCTACCTTCTAAATATGATTTAAAAATTGAATATGCTGATCCAATAATACCAAACGATTTTATACAATTTAGCAGTTTTGGATGAGGTATACTATCAAAAGCTTTACTAAGATCTAAAAATATACCGATAGTTTTATTGTGGTTATCTAAATTATCATAAATATCTTTTGTTAAGTTTGCCAGAGCGTCTTCTGTACCTAATCCCTTTCTGAAACCATATTGTGAGTTGGGTAATAAATTGTTTTCTTCTAAATAATTTATGAGCCTAGTTTTGATTGCTTTTTCAAATATTTTGGAAAATACGTTTAATAAACTTAATGGCCTAAAATTAATAAGGTCGGTTTTAGATCCTTTACCTTTATAAATGGGAGATATTAATGCATTTTTTAAGGCATCTGGGATAATCCCTTCTTTTAAAATTTGGTTGAAATTTTTTTCTAGAATGTCAGAAATAAAGTCTAAGATTTTTAATAACATTAATTGAGATTGTGTCTGGACCAGGAGCTGAATCGTTTTTCATATCAGTTATAATTTTATATAATTCAGTTCTAGTGATCTTTCTTAGATATAATCAACATGAAGGGTTATTGGTATTATATTCATTTTTCTTATTAGAAATATTATCGTTGAGATCTCCCATAGTTAAAAAGTAATCGTTCAATTTATTCGTAATTATGGATGCATTTGTTCTGGAGTCGTAGATTATATTATTTATTTTTAAATTTATTTCTGGTGACTTTGCCACATTTTTGTGTGTTGCTCGTTTAATGATATACCAAATATAGGTACTTGTAATAACTATCAAAAATATATTTAACATTAAAATAGTGATAAACAATATACATATTACATACACTAAACTTTTACTAATGTTAGAATATTTTACCTTCAGAATCAATTAGTGGTGGAGAAAGAAGCCTTGTTTGGTTTTTAGACGACACAAATCTTGAGTTTTTCTTCTTTTTTAAGCGCATATCCTCATATAAGTTATCGCATGATGATGCCTCTGAATTGTCCTGAGCCAAGGTACGAGCTTCTAAATAATTTCCTAAATACATAATACTTTTTTTAATAAAAATATTAAATGCAACATAAATAGGTATTGTAATTATGGTTACATTTCATATTTTAATATTTACATGAATATTCTTATTATTTACTATTTTGTATACTTAGCAACCATGATGCTCATATAATATGTTTGCCTTATAACTGGAGAATTCTATCTCATTTGGTGCACATTTTTTTTTCTATATTTCTACTAATTTTGCTGTTGGGCCATGCACAGAAGCCATCTTTATACCAAAATGCAGGCACAGCAGCTAATGTGCTGTCGTCTTCAAATAGTACAACTATCCACATCCTTCAAAACAAACAATACATATACAATATATACATGATAAAAAATAGAACCTATTTACATTATGTTTATACAAATTTAAAATACCTGTTGTTTTATTTTTTACATATTCTACTGCACTAAATCTAATACTTAATAAATATTATACATATAAATATGATATCTACATAATTACATAATAAATGTATCATAACTTATCTAATTATAGGTATAAATATACAATTATCATCAAAGTTGATCATAACAACTTTTTTTTTTATTTCAGTTATCTTCCACTGTTTTGTCGTTTCTGAGAGACTTTTAACAATCCAAATATCCAACTTCGATGACTTTAAGGGTTTAATGAACAAATTTTCTTTGTATAAAAAATGCCTACCAATAATTATATTAATGTGCGATAATATATCAATTATTTTAACTATTTCCCTTCCTGTTGTAAGAATAAAACAATCTGGCTCGTGTGTTGAAAAATTTAATTGATTGTGATGATTGTCATATGTGATATTTTCATTATCACAAATTTCTTTGTATCTTTTAACCACCTGTTGTAAAGGCTTATCATGTTTTCGTAGCATCCGTTTCAAATACTTCATATAGTTTTCAAAATAAAAACAGCTGCAACTATCTAGAGGTCCATACATCTTATAGTCATCAGCTAAATGCAGTAATCCATGAACATTGTGTGACATAAATTCAATACCATACATTTGTTGGAAAGTTTTTACAAAATAATCAAGAAGTTGATGAGCATACTCCAAATATTTACAGTGATCTGAACTCAATAAAATTCTCATTGCAATACTGAGGGTCATAAAATTGAGGTAACAGTCTTTAGATATAACATTTTTTAATACTATAGGACCAGTGTATAATAAAAATTGTCTGAATTCTGTTGCTTTGAATCGTCCCACTTCTTCAAGTCCCCTGGGTTTTCTAACAAAGTCATTTGTGATACATGTTTTTATTTTTAAAAGATCGGTTGTAATTTTTTTTGATTTCCAACTTGGCAAGGGTAAATTAGATGGCCCTTTATTTAACCATAAGGTTATTAGTCGTTTTGTGACACCTAGACACACCAAGTGCATATAATCCAACGGAAACAAATCAACAATGTTAATGTTGGGAATCAATGCAAGACATGATATTGTGGGTGAAACATGATACTGCTCATTTTTCATCATAACATAATCTTCATGATTTCTTTTTTCATTGCCATTTTCGTTGTAAGGAAAACAGACATGATTTATGCTATATTCACCGTAAACATTTAGTGCAAGAAAAGTAACCTGAATGTCCTTTTATTCTTAATATATAGGCCTTAGCAGGAGAATCACAACAAATAATTTTAATTTCAATTTTTCTAAGCTGATTGATCACCATTAATCCACTTCTACTTAATTCTAACACTTCAGCAATAAAATCAGAAAGATAGTTATTACTATCTGATGGTTTTTTATTCCCATGAAATATTCCTACAGGAAAAACATATTTGTGACAGGGCATAATATAGGCCAAAATTGACTGGAACTACTTTTCGATATTGGTAACCCGTCGATCCCAACTGCAATTTGAATAGTCTCTTGCAAAGGTAAAATTGATGAAAATCTTAGTATTCCATTACATAAGCTAAAATGCTAATATAAAATGAATACATAAACCATAAATTGAAAGAAAAAAAAGTTAAATTAATATTATTATTTATAAAAAAATATAAGTAATGGTCATAATATTTTACATTTAGAATGATATACCTATTTATAATGTAACAATAATAATAATAATAATATAATTATTAGCCAACAATGACATATATATACAAACATTTTTTTAAATTAGTTAATCCCCTGTAAGCTATAGCTTGTAATGTGTGGAAGTGAGTTCGGTTTGGAATGTATTCAAAAAAACACAATAATAGAACATAATATTAAATAATTATTTTCTTCGGTACCATTATCATTAATTAATTAATATGATATAATATTTTAATCAATTCTATTATCTTATAAGACCGTGGTCATAGATAATGATAAAGGTATCGCCAAATATCGGTAATAGTAATAAAATTATTATTGTTCTATGGTAATATGGAGGGGATCTGGTGCGACAGACAATGTCAACAAAACGTAGCATTGGTCAAATTAGCATATAGGTGTAATGTACATTCAATTAATCAAGTTCAAAGTACAACAATTATCAATATGTTTAATGTTAGGTACCGTAGGTAGTTAGGTCGAACGGTATCGAATTTATCAGTTATAGCTTCTGGGCTTTACAAATGAAAATTTTCCAGCGGTACCGACCTTCAACCTCCAATACTTTGAAGAGCTGTATCTCTCAAACCAGTTAACAAATAATAAAAATGTTAACGCGAAAATTCATAAAAAAAATGGTTTTATTAATTCATGATCTTTTTATTATATGTTACCATTTGAAAATCAAAAGTTGATAGTGGTTTCACCAATAAATATAAGGGTGAAAAAAATTAAAATAGTATAGAGTTTTAGAAAAGCATAAATCTAACAGTTTAAAAAAATAAAAAATAAAAAAAAGTTTATACTTTTCGAGATAATTAGTGTACCCACATAAATGGATCATCCTGTATATACCTATCATAATATGCATATCATCGTAGTCTTCACGTGGTACTCTTAATAATATCTTAAACAAATTATATTATTACAATTTAATAATTACCTATTTACAAAAAACCACCAAAGTGCAATAATAAGTATAATATAGTGTGAAGCATATATTAAAAGGCGATTCCAAGTTGGTTCCAAATAGCGACAGTGCAAAGGGGTGGTGTGATGGAAAACGGAATCATATGTATAATCGAATATTATAATACAGACATAAAAGCAATATAAATGGTAACAAAAAAATATTTGCTGAGTAAAAGGCTTGAAAAAAAAGTTCCTTGTAAATACGCATTGTTATAGCTATTTAAAAATATTAAAATAGCAGACGTAAGATTTTTTTTTTAGCTTTAAAGTTAGATATTTAAACGAAAAACAACAGTTTTAGTTATTTTATTTACCTAATGTAAATATAAAAATTATAGAAACCTACTATTAATCTTATTATTAAAAAAGGAGACAGTTCTAAAACTAATGAAGTTAATGGTAATATGAAAAAAACTTGGGAAATCATTAATATTTAGCCTGTAATACCTAATAAAAAAATGAAAAATTATGTGAACCAGATTTACATGATTAAATGGAATCGAGCACAACAATGATAATATTAAATATACCTACTTTAATTCATTTTTTCCCTCAAATGGAAATAATATTCATTACAATATTATTAAAGACATTTTTTTATAAAAGATGAGAATTTTTTTAATTTCTAATAATGTCACATGAGGTAATCAATTTTTCTTACACCTATAGGAATTACACCTTCTTACACCTAACTGAAACTGTAATTTCTAGTTATATTATAAGACTTAAAGATCATCATTATCCTCATTCTATACAAACAAGATAACAAATAAGTTCCACTGATTTTTATATCACCATGTCAGGTACTGAAGATACCAATCAATCCCTAGGAGGAAACCCCCCCTCTCTTTAGAGTCGTTAGCCCAGTTAGTATCCAACATGTCTGATGCGTTCAACTCTCAGCTAGAGAATGTCTCCCGGAAGTTCGGTGAACTCGACGCTCGCCTGGATGAACTATGTATTAGAATCGATGACAATGACGCCGAGGTCAACGTTAAGTTCTCAAAGTTTCAATCCTCCGTTAATCAGGACCTCATTGCCATACAAAACGAAAATTCCCAACAACAACAGCGGACCCAAGGATTCCAAAAATGTGCAACCAATTCCCAACGCGCGCTTAGTGACACCATCAGAGCCCTCGGAGATAGGATCAGCCTTGTCGAAGGTCAAAGTGCCAGGCTAGCTGCTCTGGAAAATAAATTTCAAAATTATGTCCCTCTAGTTCCCCCCCAATAGTCCCCACCTGTTCTCAATCAATGCCTCAAGTTTCCTTTAATAGTGTCTTAACTTCCACTACCGTCGCTCATCCTATTCCAACACAATCCACTATCCCCTCAAATACTTCTAGTTTTTCCGCCCCTAATTATAATATATCATTCCCTAGTCAAACCACGTCCACAATAAATAGTACCACCCTTTCCAACAGCACTGGCATTAGCCTAGATTCTGCAAAGCTCCCCCCCATATGATGGCCAACTCATCCCAGTTCACCCTGAGGAGTTCATTGAATAGGCTGAACAATATTTTCTCACCCAGCCCCCAGTCCCCGATAATGTCAAAATTAATTATATAAAGTCTAAATTCGTCGAAGGTGCTCGTCTCTGGTACACCACTCTACTCCCCCCCCAACAAATTATCAAGATTTCTTAGTATTGTTCCGTAATCAGTTCTGGTCACCCAATCAACAGCGCGCTATCCGCAACGAACTCTATCGCCCCTACTTCCACAGAGACTCAAGATCTCTGCAGAAGCACGCGATGGATTGGATCAGCAAGGCCCGGTTCTTGCAACCACCTATCGATCAGGCCGAAATGGTTGACCAGATCACTTCCCACTTCACCTTTAATATTTCCATTGACCTCAGAGGTCTCCGCATCACCACCACCAATGAACTCGTTCAACAACTCTCCCGCATTCAGCAAGCTCACTCCCCTACAAACGCCCAAAATAGTCAAAATGCCCCCTCTTATCAAAATCAAAATAATCAAAATGCACCCTCTTATCAAAATCAAAATCAAAACCGAAATTCATTTAACAATTCTTCTGGCCCCAATCAACAAAATAGATATCCCCCTCGTCAAAACAACTATCAACGCCCCCAATATAATTCTCATAATCAATCCACCCCAACTCCCCCTACCACTACCCCTCCACCGGTAAACTAGGTCTGACCATGCCGCGAGGATGTGCACTGTGTTCCCCTCTAATATCAATCCTCATAATTTGTTAATACTCACCCACCCACTAGCTTCTCCCCCCGATTTCGAACAAACACCTCCTCCAAATTACCGTCCCGAAATTCCCATCATCCTCTTTAATAAATCTCATAATGCTCTATTAGATTCTGGCGCAACTGTCTCTGCTATCTCTGAAGACCTTTTTAAAATATTAAATCAAAATTCTGACCCAAACACAATTCCCCTCTTTCCCCTCACAGGCATTCTCTTGACCACGGCACTCAGTCACAAAACAATTAAAATCAAATCCCAAATCTATTTAAATTTTCATGTTCAAAATTATAAAACACACGGTATATTTTTAATTGTTCCCCAATTGTCCACGCCCTTAATTCTAGGTACCGACTGGTTACTTGAAAACGGGGTGACCATAGACTACAATAGCAAGGAAATCTCCCTCCTCTCTATCAAAGATAACATCCCCTTCAAATTAATTCAAGATAATGATCCAAATAGCTTGGTTAATTCATTAAAAAATATTATTGTCACTAATGATCCTTTCACCATGTACGAACGTCCTTCCCACTTAATAAATCAAACCTACCCATTCGAAACAGAAAAAAATATTGCCCTTAATGACATTCCCCTTAATGATTCTCAACACCAATTAATGACCTCCATCCTTCAAACATATGATCACATTTTTAAAGACAAACCCGGCCTTCACACTTTTCTCTCTTACAAATTTAATATCAAACCTCATGACCCCTATAAAATTAAACCATACCCTGTACCCTTCTCTCGTCGTCCCGCCGTACAAAAAGAAATTGACAAGATGATTAAGTGGGGGAGATCGAACGATCGGATTCCCCGTACAATAATCCCCTTGTTACTGTAATAAAGGCTGACGGAACACTACGTTTATGTTTGGACGCTCGCAAATTAAATACTATTATTCTTCCCTTTCGAGACGCCTCCCCCCTATCGATGATATCCTAGCAAAATTTAATAACAAATCTTTTTTCTCCTCTCTTGACTTTTCCTCTGGCTATTGGCAAATCCCACTCGATCCCTCGGTTCGTCAGTACACCAGTTTCCTCTACGACGGAAGGTCCTACCAATTTTGTGTAGTTCCTTTTGGGTTAAACATTTCCAATGCAGCCTTTGGGAAAGGATTAGAAGCCGCCCTCAATAATTATACTATCCCCTGTCCCTCCCCTAATGACAGGCCTCACCCTAAAATTTAAAAAATGTCACTTCCATAAAAAACAAATTAAATTCCTCGGTCACTTTATATCCCCTACCGGTATGATCATGGACCCCGATAAAGTCAACGCCCTTCAAAATTTTCCCGAACCCCGCAATAAAAAAGATCTCCAATCATTTTTCGGCTTTTGTAATTTCTACCGTAAATTTTCCCAAAATCATGCTTCTCTATTACACCCCCTTTCCCATCTCATTTTTAAAGACACCCCCTGGATATTCACCGAACAAAATAAAATAGACTTCCAAAAAATAAAAACTGCCTTCTCCCTTCAAATATCATTAACACACCCCAATTTTAATATTCCCTTCTGTATCCAAACCGATGCCTCGTACATAGGACTTGGAGCAGAACTCTTCCAAATTGACGCTGCGGGCCAACGTAATACCCTGTCGTTTGCAAGTAGGTCACTGTGTGGTGCCGAAAGGAACTACACAGTGACTGAACTGGAGCTGCTTGGTATTCTGTTTGCCTGTCAGAAATTTAAAATTTACATTCTCGGCCACCCAACTAATTTATATATTGACCACAAAGCTTTAACATTTCTCTTCTCTTGTAAATTAAAAAACTCCAGTCTCACCCGTTGGACTCTTGCACTCCAAGAGTTTGACCTTAAAATTATTCACTGTCCTGGGAAAGACAATCCCATAGATACCCTGTCAAGACACCCCCTCGGTCGCGACGATCAACCCCCCAAAGACTCCCCCAGCATTCTACATTATACACTACCCCCACCTATTCCTCCCGACATTATCTCAATATTTAACAATATCTCATCTGAACAACAAAATAACCCCCGGTTAAAAAATATTATTATTAAATTAAAAGCGAACCACCCACCAGTCTGGAAACAATATTATACCTTGAAAAAAGACACCTTATTTATTCGAACAACCAAAACTAACACCCATTGGTCCCTTTATATTCCTGATCATTTGGTCAAACAAGTTGTATTATTATTCCATTATTATTATGCCCACACTGGTCTCCTTAAAACTGCTCATACGTTAAAAAATATTTGTTATTTCCCCTCATTTAATAAAACCGTCCGTTTTATCGTACAGGCATGTGAGTTGTGTCAGAAGTGCACGCCGAAGACCACTCGCATTGCCGGTCCGCTACAACCCATTCTCTCAAATAAGCCCCTTGATAAATTATTAGTCGATTTTTATGGTCCCCTCCCTACCGGTATTTTTCAATTTTCCTATATATTCGTCATTGTAGATAACTTCACCCGTTTTGTAAAATTATACCCCCTCCGATGCGCCAACGCAAAAACATGTATTAAAAAATTAACCACGGATTATTTCCCCAATTACGGTATCCCAAAAAATATAGTATCCGATCACGGTAGGCGATTCATCAGCAAATATTGGCAAACTTCCCTTAAAAAATATAACGTAAAGTGTCCCATACCAGTATATACCATCCCCAATCAAACCCAGCAGAGCGTGTCATGCGAGAACTTGGTCGAATGTTCCGCACATACTGCCACAAACAACATTCTCTCTGGCCCCAATATGTAGCTTACATAGAGTGGCCATTAAATAAAATTCGCCACGAATCAACGCATCACACCCCCTCTGCCCTCTTTCTTCAAAGTCATCAACACAATCCCATCACTCAATTTATACAATTCCCTCATGAAAATTATCCTGTAGATTTCAACAAACAGTTAAGATATAGATTCTCCAGTACTTCTCTCGCAAATCTCCATTAAAGTCCCATTACGTCCATCCCGCTCAAAGGCCCTCTTCTATGTCCCACACGCCACCACTAACTATATGACTAATGCACCTTTAAGACGCTTTATGTCGTCTGCCAATGCAGAACCATCATTCGACAAATTGCTAAATTTTTAATAGATATACAAATTTAAGCTAAAGTTTTTTTTTTTTTTTTTTTGTTTAATGTTTAAGTTTTTATTGTCATCAGATAATTATATTTAATATTAATGTAAGCTGTATATATTTTATTAGTTTTTTGTCTTTTGTAAAATGTCTAACACGATATAAGATTTATTGTAATGTCAAAAAGGGCTAAGCCCGTATAACGAATAATAAATAAATAATAAATAAATAAATAAATAAATATTAGCACAAGAAGTACAACTCTCAAAATCCGAATACCGTAAAAAATATCACCAAGAACGTCTCAACCCCACCTTTTTCAAAGTAAATGATCTAGTCTTAGTCCGAACACATAAACTCAGTAATAAAATCGACAAAAAAATTTCTAAATTTTTCTTATTATACGATGGTCCCTTTAAAGTAAAAAATATCAAAAATGTCAACGCCTATGAATTAGTTAACCCAGATGATGATACGCCCCATGGTACATACAATGTCAATCAACTTAAACCATACATACCCCCAGTAATTTAAACTGCTCAAAATGAATGATTTTACCAAAGTAATGTTTTTTTTATAATTATCTCAAATTGTATACGAAATTGGTGATCCAACTTGTGGCTGCCGTAATCCATCTAAGTGGGGGGTTACCCAGTACGTACTGTCGGTATCGACACCGATACTATGTGTGCGTCGTGCTAAGCACACAAATGTGCTGCGAACGTGATTGTGGAAACAATCAATCCCGGGTCATTTAATTCGTAACTCTCCGCGTTGTCCCCCCCTTAACACCCCACCTTTTTCTGTCTCTCTTATACCTCCTTTCGAATTCGTTGTCCCCCCAGCTCGGTAGGGCCCCCGTCGTACTGATACTACTCTCTGTCCGGCAAAGAGTCTGAGACACTCTTCTTTTAATTTAACCGGTGTTGTGGTGACGCTCCGTCCCAGTGAGGGTCCGGGCTTGATCGGCCGAGTGTGGTTGCCATTGGGGCCTAGCGGTCAGTCTCCTACGCGTTCACATACGTCTGGCGTAAAAACCAGCTGTCCCTGTGAGCGTTTAAGTAGGGGGCCCCGAACCACACTTACCACCACTGACCCGCGGCTCGATGGTCTGGAGGGTGACTTCCCGCAAGGGGGTAAAGGAGCCACCAGACCCCGCCTCTTGACCGCTCTTTCACCACAACATGCAGGAACATTCTCGTTAGCCCCCCTTCATAATGTTAGGTCCCACCATGGCTTGCCATGCGTGTAAAATTAAAATGCCCAGAGTAACCTAAGCAGTGCAAGGTCCGTGTTATCTTGCCTGTACACAATAGTTTTATTTTTATTTTTTTTTGTCTTCTCCCTTCCATGCTAAGTCCCCATAGTATGGTCGTACCTGTGACAGTCGTGACCCCAGTAAAGGCATAGACTGTCTCAGAGACCCTTTGTCCCTTCCATATCAAGTCCCCATAATATGGTCGTACCTGATACAGTCGTGACCCCAGTAAAGGCATAGACTGTATCAGAGTTCTTTTCTCCTTCCCTGGTTAGGTTTTCTTTTATTATATTGTTCCCCGTTAGGAATATAGTGGTTAGTGGTATCATCGTTGCTCCCTGGACTAGTCAGGCAATTATATTTGGTTAGTTGTATTATTATTATATACTGTGTGCGCACTAGAGCTCTGCATGGTCCGGTCTGGACCGGACCAGACTGGACCGTGGTCCGGTTTTAGTCGGTCTTTTTATTTAAAAATAATGAATGGTCCAGTCTTTTTTGGTCTACTTATTTAATAGAATACATGGTCCAGTATTTGCCGGTCTTTTTATTTAAAAGAACACACGGTCCAGTCTTCGTCGGTCCTTTAATTTTGGAAATTACATCGGTTCAGTTATGGTCCTATTCTCGTATCTACAATTAAACGTCGGAAGTACTAGGAAATAGAATTAGTATGATTTGTTATTATTACTTTTACTTTTCTCGGAACACAGACTTCTATACTAAACTAGATAAGGAACTCTTATACAATTTACATTGTCACAAGTGAAGCTCAGCTGTGAACGGCCGCCATTTTGTCGGTTGGCAAAACATTTCATTTATTATACAAAATGTATTAGGAATAATATTTTTTTAACGGTCAAATAAAAAAATAAATGTAAAATGACTTATATAAAATATTTTTTTTTTTTTTGTTACCTAAATGTTTAGAAATAATAAAATACGTTATAAAATAAATCATAATATTATCTTATTTGTCATATGAAATACTATACAATTGCCAACCGACCTTGAAGCTTCAATTCATGACCGGAGTTCGCTATCTAGTAATATATAGAAATCTGTGTCTCGGAATGACGGCCCCTATTTCAAATATCGTCGTTAATAGGTATTAGGTACTGTATAGCAATAATATTTGTATTTTACTATTATTATTATTATTATTATTATTATTATTATTTTAATTAAACTACTGAGCGACTTCTGTGACTAATGAGTACTGAGTACTACCTAGTACCTAGTATGCAATAGGTATTAACTAGGTAATTGATTATAAATTCTATAGTAATAAACTGAACGTCGCACGATGACTGTTGATATTAATTAATTTTGGGTTTACTGTCATCATTCGTAAATCATGATAACATATTTTGTTATAAATATAATATAGGCGATAGTCATAATATAATAACATCACCTAGCCGGCTAGTCTACTCCATATTCCTACTTAAAATATTTAATTTTGAATTGGACAGTAGTAAAACACAATAATAAGAAATTATTAATTGAAAAATTATTTTACATTTTAATGTTTCTATTTTTCAATCATTTCTACTTTGGCTGTGTGAAGTGACAGTACTGAGTACTCACTACCTACTCTAGTACCTAGTACCTACCAGCAGATTTTAATATAACCGATTGTTATCTCCAATATTTAGTAAGTAGTATATTAAATAAAATAGTATTTATTGCGTTGTTTATATTACCTATATACATTAGACGAGAGATGGAGAATTTACGTAAAAAAGGGGATAAGTGGATGTCGCTCTGCTGTACATTAGGAGGTGGGATGGACCTCGGTCATAGAGTAGGTCACTGTAATGTGTTTGTTAATTTTAATGCAATGATAGGTATCATTGAATACAAAAAACGATTCTGAACGGAGATGATTTGTCAGTCTAGGATATATTATTATATTTAAATATTGTTATTATTTTATTTTAACGCGTGAATTTTGATTTCGTTAAAAATTAAACACTCGTAAAATTTTTTTAATTGAATAATCATCAATTTTTTTTATAATTTATTATTCTACGCTCAACTTATGGACAACCTAGTAATAAATTTTCAATTCTTAGCTTTTAATCAAAAATTATTTATACATTTTTAAGTACAGAATAATTAGCAAATATTCATGATTTTGACGATTTTGTCAATACATACATTTAAAACGTTTATAAAAAAATTTGTGCAAATTTTTTTTTATAATTTTTGAATGACAGTAAGAACAACTCATGTAGAATCATTTATTAAATTTTCAAGTATTTTGTCCCAGCGAATTTTTTTTTGACAAATTTAAAAAAATATATTAAAATAGTCGAATATTTCAAATGCCTATAAATAGATTAAAAATTAGTGAAATATGTTGAAAATAAAATTATATAATGAAAATGCCAATCTAAACAACTGGTAACATTTTCAAGTATCTATGACTTATACTTTTTGAATAATAACAAATATCGAAAATCATTTTTCGATACATCGTTATTTTACGCAATTTTGTAAAAATTTAAATTTCAGACGTTCATAAAATTTTTTTCTAAAATCACGATCGAGTTTTTTTTTAAAGTACTTGAAGAAAAAGTTATGGATGACCTTGTGTTGAAGTTTTTAACCTTAGGTATGAAAAGAAAAAATTTTATGAATTTTTAACTGCCAAATTACTTGCATATTTTCGCGATTTTGGCATATTTCGTAATAATTTGAACTATTATCGCTTATAAAAAAATTGTGACAAACGATTTTTGATTTTTTTAACTACACTAAGAACAACTCATAAATAACCTTGTATTAAATTTTCAAGATTTTTTGGAGAGCCAAATTTTTTTTTTTCATATTTCAAAAAAATAAACTTAGAAAATTCGAAAAATTAAATTGTCTATAAATAGCTCAAAATAAGTCAAAACACTTTGAAAATTTAACCCTGTATAGATAACGCTAATATAAACATTTAGTGAAAATTTCAAGTGTTTACAGTAATTAGTTATTAAGTTACAGTAAAATTAAATTTTCGTTTTTGTCGAAAATTGGTTTTGCGTGAAATTTCCCGTTTTTTGTTACTTTTTTAGGTTTTTTCCCGACGCTTTTAAAAAGTATTGGAAATTTTACACTTTAGTACCAACTAGATTCACTACTCTTTCAGAAACGGTGCTATTTGTGAAAATCAAAGCATTATTACTATTCCAAATCGTGATCACAGACACAAAAAAAAAAAACACACATCATTGTAAATCATTCCTCACTCCGTTCAGAATCTAAAAATATCAATAAATCGATATATAAATAGGTGTTGGTTATTTTCAATCGCTGATATTTTCAAACAAAATATACTATTTTTCATTTATTTCGAAATATTTTATACTATTATGTATAATAATTTATACACACATTTTTCAATTTATTTTTTCATTATTTTAGAATTATGAATTCTCAAGAAATTTCTGAATTTTTAAATTCGAGTTTTGCAAGTTCACTTAATGATTTGTCTACTGATCAAAACAGCGTAATATGCAGTACGCCTATACCGAATGACATGATCGACGATTCTTCTGTTGTTTCGTTTCCTTCTACTTCTGGATCTACGATAAATCAATCTTTGATTCATCCATTTATGAGAAATAATTCTAAAAATGCTGTTAAACGGAAATTAACCCACGTTACTGGAGAATATATTTTGGTGCCTCGTGAAGGAAAAAGTGACACGTGGAAAAAATTCAAAATGTTATGCAAATCGTTCAAAATATCGACAACCCTGATGCTCCCGAACAAATTTTAACAGAATATGTTGCTTGTATAAATTGCAAAGAACTCTACGGGAATAAATCAGCGACAGCTACACTTAATAGACATAAATGCAGTTTAGATAAAGGTTTGCAAAGATCTATTGATATATTTATTGAAGAGAAAAGTAAAAAACAAAAAATAATACCAAAAGAATTAAAGATAAAAGCAATTGAAAAATGCGTTGAATTTTGTTGTATGGATATAAGACCAATGTCCGCAATTGAAGGTGAAGGTTTGAAGAATTTGTGTCAGTTTTTATTAGACACTGGTAGAAAGTATGGACCAATTGACATTTCGGACCTTTTGCCTCACCCGACTACCATATCAAGACACGTTGAAAAAAGTACTAAAGAAATCAGAAACAAACTTTTTAAAGATCTATTTTTTATTATAAACAAAAAATATTGTGCTTCAACCTGTGATATGTGGACTGATAATTATCGTAAGAATAGTTACATGTCGGTAACTCTGCATAACATAGATGATAATTGGGAATTAAACTGTCTTCTACTTAAAACTGGTTTATTTCCAAGTAATGAAGTAAAAACGGGTGACAATATAAAACGTTTCATGTTGAATTTTTTTTGTGAAATATCTGATGCAGCAGATGAGCCAACATTTGATTTAATGTCAAATATAACTTTTGTTACCGACCAAGGTTCCAATATGTTAACAGCTCTCAGAAATAACAATAGACTTAACTGCTGTGCTCATTTAATTAATACTGTATTAAGAAATCTGTTTGATTCAAAATTTTTGAATCATGAAGAAGACGGTAATAAACTTTTGAATCCAGTAGTGATATTACTAAACGAATGTAAACATTCGGTAAAATTTATGAAAAGCTCGGGTAAAAATAGTGAACTTAGTCAAGGACTTGTACAAGAAGTTGAAACGAGGTGGAATACAAGGATTTTAATGTTTCAATCAGTGAAAAGAGCACTTCCAGAAATAATTCAACTATATGGAGAACATTTCAATCGTATACAAAATATTAATACAGAATTACTGGAAAAAATTACAATTTTTTTGGAACCATTTAAAAAAGCATCTGATGAACTAGAGGGTGAGAAGTATCCGACTATTCAAAAGGTTGTTTTATACCAACTGTTATTGAAAAAACATTTAAAAACATATGCTGAACTTCAAGAGGACATATTTGATGCAAATGAAGAACTTACACCCAACTCAATAATGCAAAAATTAGGAAAACGAGGTTTAGAGTTCATGGAATCTAAATTTAAGTTGGCCGAAGAACACGAGATTGCCATTTTTTTATCGCCAAAATTTAAATGTCTAAAAATGTTTTCAGAACCAGATAAATCACGTATATTTCAAAATATAGGATTAAAGTTGTTAGAAATTGAATTAAAAGAAAATATAACTCCAGAAAAGATACACCAGGAACATAATGTTACCATACAAAAAAACACTTCGAATAGCTCACTATTTTCAGAATGGGAAGATGGTGAAAATAATGAAGATTTAGACAATAGGCGTAAATATGAAAAAGAATTGGAAGCTTGTTTGATCGCCGCACCGCACCTACTTTTCTATCGCGGTTTGCGACAACGACTTGCGGTGTGTTGAGACGTGAAAAGGTTACCCAAGTATAAAAAATGATAAATTCCAAATGCGAGTACAAATGCGCTAGGCGCTTAATAATTATTATAGATAACAACAACCTAGGTACATAAAACAGGAATATATAACATAGGTACTAACAGACAGGGCGCCCCAAAACATAACAATATAGGTACTTAAAACAATTACAACGTCGGTCCGCCGTCGGTGATAGGTCCACTTGATGGATGTTGATGGATGGGCAACACCATGAACTGAATGGACAGCAACAAGCCATCTGCGGCACGCAATGATCGGCAACAAGCCAGTGGCGGCACGCAATGATATAAGCGGCGGCACGAAATGAACGGCACGAGCCAGTGGCGGCACGCAAAGATATAAGCGGCGGCACGAAAAGAACGGCGACGAGCCAGTGGCGGCACGCAGATATAAGCGGCGGCACGAAAAGAACGGCGACGAGCCAGTGGCGGCACGCAAAGATATAAGCGGCGACACGAATAGGTATAACGGTTTAACAACGCGAAGACTACATGTGGTTTGGTCGCCAAAACCTAGTGAAACGCGGCGAGCGAACGCAACGATGCGTCGGGCTCGACCGCCTGGAAAAGACACACGAACTAGGAGGCGGCACAGCCTACGGTGGCGAACGGCCCGGAGCTGGACGGCCGAGGAGGGGGTAAGCCACCTCGTGAGCTTCGGCATCCGAGGCGCAGCTTTGGGGACATATGCCGAAACTAGGATGGCGCGAAAACGCGTCCGTGTTCGAACAAAGCTTATAAAAAGAAAAGTTTGATGTTATCGACGACAATTTGTTAGATTTTTGGAAGCGTCAAAATCACATTTTTCCACATTTAAGGGTATTAGCACGACAAATTTTGGCTATTCCAGCTAGTAGTGCTAGCAGTGAACGCTCTTTTAGCGTTGCTGGAAGACTAATAGAAGTTGTCTGAGTGGTACAAGTGTAGATTCGATTTTGTTCTTAAATAACCATTTTAAAAATAAAAAAATGAATTTATTTTACTATTATTTAAATGTTATTTTACTATTATTTTTAATTGAACTATCAGGTATCAACTAATAATTATTTTAATATTAATTATTTTCACATTTATTTTATTTTAAATATAAATAATTTAGCTAAAAAACTTATCTTATAGTAACTAGGTGCGGCACAGTAAAATCTATAATTTTTCTAGCATATTATAAATGTTATATATTTTAATTTGAAATATGAAACATTTTTTTTGTGATTATTATAATAAACGGTTAAAAGAAATTAAGTTGTACTTATTTTCCGATATTATAGGTACATATAACAATGGTCGGCAGAGTCCTACCCCCACCTCCACGCGGTGCCGACTGGAAACGGAATTCCGGTTCCGGCCAACGGGGGAGGCACAGAAGGCAAACTGTATAAAACCGAACACCGGCGGGTCAACACCAGCGACCAGAGAGGGCCAACATCGCCCTCCAACTACCGACATCACGGACCGAAGGCTCGATGCACAGACGACCGGGAAGGTTAGACGGGGACCCAGCGGTTAGTAAACTAAGCGGCTCAGTATCATCATCCGAAACTGCCCCACAGCGGCAGGCGTGCCCCGGGGCATTAGTAGGACGCCCACAGCACGATTCGTCACCGTCCGGGTGATCGCGATTGATGAGAAAGGCCGCTAGTCAGAACGCCTCAAGAATCCGCCGACCGGTCATCCAAGCACCGAGCAGCACGACGAATGAACGAACGGAGGAACCAGAAGGAAAACTGAACAAACCAAAACACCGGCAGGCAACAGACCAGAGAGGGCAAACATCGCCTCCACCCGACAACAACAGCCGAAGACGGACTCTGAAAGACGAGCGGAAAGCCGCTCCACACCGGCGCACCCGCACCCCCAACCACCTCATCCGAAACTGCCCCACAGCGGCAGGTGCGCCCGGGGGCATTAGTAGGACGCCCACAACATGGTTGGTCACCGTCCGGGCGATCTCGATTGAGAGTGAGAGGGGCCGGGCCCAGCGTCAGGAGGCGCCGCAGACCGCAAGGCTCGCAGAAGGACGAGACAACAGGAAACGGGCAGAAGGAAAACTGGCAAACCATCACCGGAGGGACGCGAACTCCAGAACAACATAAGGAGAATTCACGAGGCACGAGACTCGAGGCCGGCTGGCTAACTAGCCGGGCCGGGAAGACCAAGAACGTGTCTTCGAGACTGGCGGGCAGCAAAGCCGGGTCCAGAAGACAAAAAACGCAACCAGCGGGCCTTCAGCCAACAACAATGTTATTTCTACTAAAATGTAAACTAGTTTAAATGTGCGCCCATTAAGGGACAAAAAAAGGTGTAAAATATTAATTATAAAATGTCACATTATTTATTTAAATTAATAAACGATGGCGGCGTCGCGGAAGTAGTGCGAAAGCAGTTCCCGCGACGCCGTCGGTTCAAAACTGAAAAAAAAAAGGTACATATAACAATACATTATATGTACTTACCAACTGTATTAGTACAGTTATTCAGTATTTTTTATAAATATAGGTGTATTATAAATTGTAGGTAGATCGTAGATACACCTACAAAATTATATGAAATACTACTAAATTAATTAATTAAAGAAATTATTCTTAAAAACAAATTTCAACTATATTAATATATTCTTTTTAGAAATGAGGTAATCCGATAATTTCCTCAATTCATATTTTGTTAAAACTAAACATAGTTTTTATTTGAATTATAATGTCTTTATTAATGTTAATATTCTCATATCGAGGTTCATGAACAGTCACTAAACATTTTAGGAATCAATAGTGAGCTGATCCCTTTAACATGACATTTTATTGAACTATTAAATTACTACATTTTTCGTGCAAAACAGCATTAGTCTTTATCAAATGTTTCAATCTAAACCAGTCTCGGTATTGTTCTAAGAAGTAAAAGTAAAATCGGTCAGCACCAATCGATCTTGATTCTACGGTGAATTTTTTTTTTAATTTAATTAATGTAATTTTGGTCCTGATAAAAATATTTTTTTTTTAATAGTCCAGTCTCAGTCTTTTTTAAAAATTTAAAAATAAAACGGTCCGGTCCCAGTCTTTTTCAACAGCCTAAAATAAATCAGTCTAGTCTCGGTCCAGTTAAATTATTTTAATGATAGTCCAGTCCAGTCTTGGTCTTAATTAAATTAACTAGTCCGGTCTGGTCCACAAAAATATGGACCATGCAGAGCTCTAGTGCGCACAGATGTGTAGATTTTATTATATTATTATTGTGATGCTAGTACCCTTACCACCTATACTCCCTAACCCAACTTTATTATTCTATTACGGTTGCGAACTAAATTTTATTATTATGTATTTGATATTACTATGATGTCCCTAATTAAAATGTTATATTCCCTCAAATTGCTAGTCTATGGTCATTCCCAAAAAATTCTGCTCTCTTACTCTACAACAAATGGTTTTCAGGTATTCTTGCAGACACCTTCAACAATTTGTTGGGGGGGTTCTGTAACGTCACAGCATTTTTTGCATTAATATTATTAATATCATAAACATACCTGTACCCATATTACCATTAATAAACATACCTTATTTATATATTGTTATGATTATCGCACCCTAATGCAGAAATGACCTCAGTGTTATGCAATAAATGTTCCCCGTTCCCCCCTTCATCACGCAGTGTTCGTCGTCGACGTGCCGCGGTTGCCCGCCGCCCGTCACCTCCAGCTCTTTTGTCGCGTCCGCCGGTACGGCCCGCAGGCAATACTGTACTCCCCGAATATATTGTACCATCACACAAAACGACGAAACTGACCTGCCCCACCAACGACAAAAAGCTCCGCCGCCGGCAACAGACCACCGCTGTAGCCGGGTCGCATATTGGCATTCTGGGGTCGGTCTCAGCACCTATAAACTAATTGACGCTTTTAATTGGTTCATTTAAATTTCAGCGCGAATTTCTTTCGCGTTTATCAATAATTATCAATAATTATTTTCAATTTTGTGTTTATATTATAATTTATATAAGTCTATTGGACATAATATTTTGGTGTAATAGGAACCTAGTTGAACTATATTAAAATAGGTATTTTTTTAATAATGTTTAAACTTTTGGAATACGAAAAAATTCATTCCGTTGTAATTTGTTCTCTGAACAAGATATAACTCAATGGATTACTGAACATAGGTCTACCACAAACACAAATTGGTGTATAAATACTAAGTCCTCTAATAATGATAGTTCCAGATATGTTTTTAGGTGAGTTATGCTTTTGACTATTTATACAAAGCTGGGTCAGGTACTCAGGTTATACACAATAGCGACTGAGTATCTAATTTTACAGTTAACATATTTACAACATAAATAATCAGTTTTATTTTATTTTGTTTCTGTTTAAAAACATCACAGCAATATTAAAGCTTTTTGTATAATAATTATAGACTATACCTAGCAATGCCACTCAAAAGTATTAATAAATTTCATCCATTGTATCTTCTAAAAAATCATTAACGTTTATAATCTAATAGGTATCGTTTTGATGTTTGAGGCAATAATTGTATCAAATATAGACTTACTTATTTTTTGAAACATTGTAAGTAGTTATTACTCAGTTTGTGTTGTATATAATATGTGCATATTTTTGTAATAATTGTTATTGAAACATAAAATAACATTTACAATTTGTAAATAATTTAATTTTAGAAAAGTTTATATGTGTCATCATAGTGGTTTTAATAAAGTAAATAGTAACAGCAACAAGAGAGGTAAGTCAAAAAATACAGAATGTCAAGCTCGGATTGATGTAAAAATTAAATTAACAACGAAAGATACATGCAAAAAAGACAAATATATAAAAGTAAGTGTATGGTATAACAAACCTAACCTATGTGCTGTAATGAATTTTCAACGCTGTTTGGTTTATGGTAATTATCGTGCGTTTATTTTCATACTTAATTATTTTGTACATAGATTTTATATCATTCGTGGTACAATATTTCTTTTCAATTAGTTTATACTCTTTCGAGTGTACATTTAAAATATTTATCTTGGGGATACATATAATGGGTGGGTATGTGTACATATAACTCACGGTTTTTGGACTCTCCGTCAGTGATGAGGTCAGTACAGATGTGGATGGTGGGTGAATGTCAGCAGTGTCCTGTTGTTCAACCCTCCCCGTCTGATACAACAGACGGTAGTTGCCGGTGGTGTTGGCTTGGTTGACTCGTGCAGGTAGACGCAGGGACAGTAGTGCTGGCTCAGCGTGCGATAAGTTGTAATCCGATACAACTTACTAGGTAACAATGGCTCGGCGTTCACAATAAACAAACTGATCGGACGGCGGCGGCAATGGCTCGGCGTTCACGATAGACGGCGGCGACAACGGATCGTACGGCGGCGACAAAGGCTCAGCGTTCACAATAAACAAACTGATCGGACGGCGGCGGCAACGGCTCGGCGTTCACGATAGACGGCGGCGACAACGGATCGTACGGCGGCGACAACGGCTCGGCGTTCGACAGTGCGCGGATACGGGAGTGTCGGGCAAGACTATATACACAGCCGTTAATCACTAGTTGAAGAACTGGTGCGGCTTGTGCAGTCTCTTGGACCAATCGCTGTTATATGTGCAAGCTGAATAGCGTCCGTAGTCACGAGTGGTAAAACTCGTGCGGCTCGCTATTGCCTTGCACTCAGCGGGGAAAAGATGATTCTACGGTCTCTCATCGGCTGGTATTTATGTAGTATGCGGAACACTGGTCCCGGTTACATGACTCTGTTTCTTTTTTGCTAGTGGAGTTTTTTAGGTGCTTGTTTGAACTTGTCGGTAGTAATAATATGATAGTTGAAATGATGACGATTCCGAATCTGGAATCAGCGATTTGATTTTTCTTTTGGTTGCTGAGAAAACTTATGTTTTCCGATGGGCGGCCAAGGGCTGTTGTAACATGTGGCCAGCCAGCGCTATCTGTTGCGCCGTTTGTCCGTTGCACACAGTGGATACATTCGTTCTTTGGGCGGCGGCGCTTGTTGTGAGAGGATGTAATGAAGACCGCTAGAGTGCGCCACATAAATGGGCACTCCGTTTTGTCTCATTACAGTGCTTACATCATATTTTTATTTTATTAAATATAATTTATGTATATTTTTATATACTTATACTCTGATGACTGACACTGACGAAAAATTAAACAATTTAGGTAAGTTAGGTAATTTAGGTAATTTAGGTAAGAATTAGTTATTACTTATTAGTAAAACCCTAATAACAATATATTTATTTTAAATAACTTACTAGCACATCATTCTGTTAAAAATAAAATAGTTAGAATTTAATTAATTACCTGCATTTATGGTTTATTTAATAAAAATAATACTAAGTGTTTGATACTATAATTATACATATATAATTTCAAACCAAAGATATTAATTAAGATAACATTTTTTAAATTTACTTATGTTATATATATATAAATTATGTAGTTACCTATTTTATAAGTAGGTATTTGTTTTGGTTATTAACTATTATAAAACTTCACTCACAAAAATTATACATAATTATTATGTATTATTATTATTGTTATTAGTAGGTACCTACTTATAGTGTATTATGTAGGTACTTATTCAATTTATCTGACTACCTGTATAGGCATTTGATATGTATATGGTTTTATATTAATTGATAGATTTATCAGAGTCTTTGAGATGAAACAAAAATAGAATTAGAGTTTGGTATGAATTCTGAACAGTTGGCAAATGCTTCAATTAACACTAAGTATAGGACTATTCGTCATTGGTATGATAATTGGAAGCTAAATAATTTTTGATCATGTACTGAACATGGTGTATTACAAGTACATAACTATATTTTTAAATTAAATTAAATTAACATTTAGATTAAATTAACAAATCCTATTGTTTATTAGACCATTTCAAATTTAAGATTTTTCTTTTAGAAACTGGAAGAAATGTTAAATGATTATACAAATAATGGACATATTGTAAAGTTTAATGAAAATCCATTAGCAATATTAGTTGTTACTCCTATTATGCAGAGAGCGCATACCTTAGCTTTTTCTAAGGATATAGCTTTTGTGGACAGCACCTCATCATGTGATACGCAAAGTCATTCTGTTACGTTTATGTTAACTTCATGTGGCATTGGAGCTGTTCCACTAGGAATGTTTATAACTAAAGGACAAACAACCGATGACTATAAAGCAGCTTTTACATTATTGAAAGACTCAGTTCCATGTAGTTTTGGTGGTCATGGATTTCCTAAACAGTTTATTATCGATGATAGTGAGGCAGAAAGGCAAGCATTAAGAGCAATTTGGCCAGAATCTAGCATTTTTCTCTGTAGGTTTCATGTTTTGCAATCAGTATGGAGATGGTTATGGGATTCAAAACATGACATTCGCAATGAAGATAGGAAATTATTATTTAAATTATTCCAAACTATTTTGAATGCATCTAATAACAGTAGTGCCAGTGAAGCATATAGTATTGCTATTGGTAAATTAGCTACTGAAAATAACTATAAAAATGACAATATAATACCACTGAAATATGATTAATGGATCAAATATGTAAACAACTATTGGGACAAGAAAGAAGTTTGGTGTCTGGCTTTTAGAGATGCTTCTGTACATGGTAACCAGACAAATAACTTTAGTGAAGTGAATGTACGCATATTTAAAGATATTGTGCTCTCTAGAAATAAAGCATACAATGCAGTTGCTTTGGTTGATTTTTTTTGCACTAGTCTTGAGGAATATTATTTAAGGCGTTTAAGAACATTTGTAAATAGCAGAAATGATACTGCAAGACTGCTTTTCCAAGATCAATTAAAAAGATACATTAACAAAAATGCAATAGAAAAATTACCAAATAATTTATTTAAAGTGCCATCGGAAACTAATAGTGGTTTTTATGAAGTTGATGTTACTTATGAATGTTGTAACTGCTCAAAAAGAAATTTAGGAGCTTTTTGTAACCATCAAGCTGCAGTATATCATCATTTCAACACAAGTATGCCAAATCTACCTGCTATAACTGTAAACTGCCGCTTACTTTTGGCTAAATTAGCATTTGGGGAACATGTACCTGATAAATTATTTTATATGCCACTTGTCTGTAAATCAGATTCTGATAAAATTAATGAATCATTGAATGAAGCTACACCTGGTAATTATGAAAAGAACGAACCATCATGTTGTAAAATACCAACAACTTTAACAAATCAAGCTTTAGAAGTTGACTCTAATTCGAACTCTGAATATTATGCTGAACAAATTCAGGAATTATTTAAATCAAATTTGGAAAGATATACATCATCAACTTCAGTATCAGTCCTCAGCAAATGTCTAGATCGTTTAAAAAAAGTAAAATCTGCTGCTTCTTGGGAGTCATTTATGAGTACTGCTGGTAGTAATATTTCTCTGAGGCATCGAACTAGAGCAACTATTCGAGTGCAACCTACAGCAATAAATAGAAGAAAACTGGGGATCACAAGAGGCAGCAAACGATTACCTTTAGGGCGACCATTGAATGCCGATATAAATAGAAAAAGAAAAGAAAAGAATTTAGGAGAAAATGTTCAAAAGAATGTTCCAAATGCTAAATCGCGTGGAACAGGTCATTAATCATATACAGAAATGTTTAATAAAATATTGA